GGGCCTTTACCTGCAGTGCTATTTATCAGTCTAGATTGTTTTGGTGTGAGTTGCCAACACATTCTCACTCCGACCTCATCACATATAGCCATTTGGTCATGGACTTTCCAGGGACCAGATATGTCTTGGAAGGCACCCTGGGTGTGTTGGTTGTTGATGGTCTGGGATGCCCTGTCAAGTTCTGCCTGTTACATGCATTGTCTTCTTTCAAAATACACTTCCGTATTCGCAGGAAATTTAATGTTTACATAGTCTCTTTCAAAATAAATGCAAATTGACATTTTTCTTTCCTTCAACAACTAAGGCACTTAGTTTGGTTAAGGCTATATAAAACACGTGGTGGGTTTAAGATAAAAGAACAGTGTTTGGCTTTATAACTTCACAGGATGCAAACACCACTCTCCCGGGTCAAAGTTGGTGTTTTTTGGACCCCACCAACACCACTCCCACCCCCCCGCTTGGACTTCTGCTGCCTTAACTTTCGTTCTTGTCCCGCCACATTTCCCCCTGATGCTGTCAGCTGCCATTAAACAATAATGGTGACCAGCCGCATATCATGACGACATTAAAGGACAGCTCTTTCGTTGGTGTCTGACGCTGGAAGTCACTGACCGAGTACTGGATTCGGACAACTTCCAAGTGAGACTGGGTGTGAGTTGCAGAATGTTGGAGATATTAGTTGTAGAGATGTTTGGCTTCTCTCCAATCAGGCACCCAAATTCGTACAAATCCTGTGTATTCTGAAAGGCTGTGATCATGTGACCAATACACTGACAGGAGTAAACAAGGCACCAGTCCGGTGCTGTCTTGTAAGTGGGCAGGTTGGTTTGGTGGATGGGTCACAAAACCGTGTGAACTTTGAGTGATCTTTGAGTCATTTTCAGGTACGTCCCCACCAGGTTTCTTTTCCTAAACCTAACTGTATCACTGCACAGCAAGGAGCGTACATCTTCTGCTAACTCAGCTCAGCCGAAGAGGACGCCATTAATGTTTACATCTCACACTGTCACAAGCCTCTCGGCCACGAGTAGATGCACACTTCCCTCTGCGCGGTAGAAAATAGTTCCTACACAAAAACTGCTCACAACAAGCTCTGTGGGTGATCTTTAGTAACTGTGTCATGAGTTTTGGAAAGACATTAACATAGATATTAAGATTTATAAATTCATTTATTTGATGCCTTGAGCATCATAAACCGAGTGCCATCTAGTTCCATTACATTGGTGAGTAGACAGACATCTCTACGGATGATATCTCCAACACTCTGCAACTCACATCAAAACAATTTAGACTGATAAACAGCACTACAGGTAAGAGGATAAAGATCTGTATTGGAATTTGTGGTGAATTGTCCCCTTAAGTAAGCAAGAATATTCCGTTAAATAATAAACATTATGATTATCTTCCCAACAAATAAATGCTCAGTTAAGTTTTTTATGTATTCACAGCGAGTTATCTTGCAATTGATTGTTTTCCTGTTGTATTATTCTGTAAAGTTCCTTATTGCTTACTTTATATTCTAGTCGTCTTTTTTTCTCTGGGGCTGAAACTTATTCTGCTGCTGCAGCAGAAATGTAAATTCACCACAGGGATCAATGAAGTTTAATATTATCTTGTGTTTTCTTCATCTTGACCTTTTCTTGGTCAAATGTAACAACCGAGACCGAAACACAAGAAAACAGTCGTTTCCATTACTGAAAGTAAGGGAAGCATTTGAATCATGATTTCATATCTGTCTCTTGTTTCTGTTACTTTGTTCTTGTGCACTTTTGTAAAGAAGACACTGCAGGTCTGAAACAATATCGGATGTAACTGAAGAGGCCATTATGCTCCATAGATGCTTGTAAATTTGTTTTCCTCTCTTTCTCGATGTTTGCTGTTTTTCACCTTCCATCCTTCCATCGATCAACTTTATTTCTCTGGTTCTCTTTCTTCCTCCTTCCCCCATCCTGTCTCCAGATCTGTCTCTAGGCAACGGAACAAAGGGGGAATCACCACGACTACAGTGTTTGACTAGTACAGCTCAGCTATTTAAAGCAGGACTGATGTAAGAGACAGAACGTCATGTATCACTAAGAACAACCAAGAATACTTCTCACAAGGCAGCAACTCACACCTAAATTAAGCAGCTCCAGTTTTTCTCCATTCAATATTTCTTAAACAGTCCTGGAAGTGTGATCCAGACTGAATCACAGGTGATCCGTCTATACTAAGGATGTATTAGGAACAAAGTATTGACAGAAATATACCTGTTTCCAGCAATGTCCACATCTGTCATATGGGGGGGAACATCCCATTAGTTAGTGACATTAGTGCCCAAACACACCACATGTCAGTAATTTAGAGATGAAAACAAAGTGTCCCTGACAGTTACCCTCTTCTAGATCATTCATGTGTTCCCAGCTTGTATTACTGACATTTCATGCAGGACTGAAATGTCACAGAATATCACAAATAACCAACCCGGAAGGATAAACAACAGAGCAGAATCATTACAGATTACAAGAGCAGGATTGTAATTTGACAGTCATGGGTTCAATTCCTTAGACTGTAGTATTACATGGTGTTGATTTGCTGAAGTACTTTTGAAGTACCCTGATGAAGCCCATAGTGGAGGACTGTGGTTATACTCTTTATATAAATAGAGAGTTTTGGCTGGCAGCTCTCAGTTAGTACGTTTACATGGAAAGGGAAGTGGAGCTACAGTTACAGCTCGACTAGGACATTTAATTGGACTACTGTCCCAGTATACAAACAATTCATTGAGCAAAGTATGTCCAACTCTGTTACGATAGGCGGTAGGGGTGAGTTCGTGTACAAAGATTAAAGATTAAAGTTCCACTGATTGTCACACACCTGATATTTGTTTTCCGCATTTGACCCATCCCCTTAGGGAGCGGTGCTGCGCTCGGGAATCATGTGGTGATCTAACCCCCCAATTCCAACCCCTGATACTGAGTGCCAAGCAGGGAGGCAGTGGGTCCCATTTTTTTAGTCTTTGGTATGACCCGGCCGGGGATCGAACCCACAACCTCCCAGGTTGTGGGTTCGATCCCTGGCCATCTCAGGGCAGACACTCTACCACTAGGCCACTGAACGTTTAGAGTGGGTAATTTTTTTTTGTGTAAACGTGCACACGAGTTTCACCGCTGGGTGGTGCTACTGCATTATACCAGTAAAGTCCCAGTTATCCGAATACCAACCAAACGGGCCATTTAACCAACGGTTACAGGCCGCCACTCCAAAATATCGCCATTCCAACGGTCCGTCATCTCGAATTCTGGTCCCTGAGTCCTGACAGTGAGCTATGGCGAGCCTGTAGAAGCCGTATTTCCCATGCATTTCAGCGATTTTCACCGGGGACGCACGCGAGTAATTCAGGCTGACATTACCTGTTTGTCAGTGAACTTCTCTGGTAATTTTATTAAAAAGCATGGCATATAGGTCCACAGTAACTTATTATTATTATTATTATTATTATTGGGTCTTATAAGAGTGGGCTACAGTGAGTACCGGGCCATAAAATCACAGCATCCGTGGAGAGAGGACACAGAATTGTGTGCGCTTTTACGCACGTGGGTCTAGGCAATCACGGATATTTGATGTGGGAAAGATGTAGCCAGATGTATTACCTGTTTTTAAGCGGCACCGAGATACGTGGCTCGTCTGTCCGTCCGTCTGTCCGTCTGTCCGTAGCACAAGTCATGTGCGCCACTTCACCACCGACCCGTGCATAAAAGCGCAAACAATTCCGTATCCTCTCACCGCGGATGCTGTGACTTGACGGCCCGGTACTCATTATAGCCCACTGGCGAACGACCCCCTTAACGACCGTGCTGTTTTATTAGAACGGAGCACGTTGGCTACTGACCTGCTACCAAACCCGGTCTCACACCATTTCATGTCATATTCACAGTCTATCACAGTTAGTCAACAATTAGTATCAACCCCCCCCCCCCCCCCAAAAAAACAAACGTTGTTCAAGTACTAATTTTTCATAACCGTTTATGATCTCAAACACGTGTACACGGACTCACCCCTAATAGGTGGAGATATGCCCCCTTTCAGCTTGTTAGTATTGGACCTTTTTCCTGTTGACCTATTACGTCACAGACCAAACTATGGACAAACAAGTTAGCTACGGTTAGCTAGCAGCTAACTGGTACCATGGTGGACAACTTTACAGCTCTGTACATTGTGTCTGTCCAAAAAGTCACGGCTCTGGATGTAGATTTCTCCATGTTGTTACCGGCTTCTTCTTCTGTTACACATTTAATGCTATTCAACTTCCAGGTCAAAACCCAGGGTGGAAACTGTGGAGCATGCGCCGAACACCTCGGCCAGTTTGGGTGTGATTGACTGTATACATGCAGGAGTAATTCCACCCCCCATGGCATTATCTGGGAGTGTTAGTCCGACTTTGAGAAATTGAATTTAGTATGATTTCAGTCAGACTAACATGTTTACATCTATTATTTTAAGTCCGATTTTAGTTGGACTGGCACAATAAATCATGTAAAGTTCCTGAGTGTGTTGTTACTTCTAAAACCTATTCCACTACAGATTACTGAATACATGCCCTAAAATGTAACTTGTAAAGTATTCCATGAGTTTATGCAAATAAAAGATATGCAGGATTTTCCTAAAAAACCAAAGACAAATAGACTTCCGGACCAAGGACCCAGTCCCTAACCATGAGATGGATTTGTTTTACTTTAATCAGCTCTCTGTCATTTTGTTTTTAACGGTGTATTTCTTTCGGACTGGACTTTAAAATCACTGGCAAAGATGTCTGCAAAGACCCTTATCTTAAGACCCAGGACAAAGTTGTGATGTGTGTGTGTGTTTATCTTTGACTGCACTCATAGTGGTGATGTAATCCTGGATTGCTGGTTTCAGTTCTGTTCATACAAGATACTTTCACCTCAGCTGGGATTACTCAGTCCCCTAACATTATCCAGTGTGTAAACAGTTCCTCCTGCACTAAATAAAGCTCTCACCATCTTATAAAGATCCGACACGCTTATCTGATCTTCGTCCACCATCTCAAACTCCTTTCTTGGCACCAAGTCCAGACCCAGGTGTCTACAGGGAGAGAGGAGAGAGAGCGTCAGTGTTTTTTTATATAACCTTCACAAACCATGTACACTATTTCTGACATAGATACAGGAACAGAAACCCATCCACACACACACTCACTCACAGTATATTGAAGTAATTTTAGATGTGGCCTTGGGGGATATTGTTCCTGAGGATTACTTTCTGTTCAATCTCAACAACCACATCTTTCACCCACAGACCTGTGACCTTGGTCCTAAAGACGCGCTGCAGAATATTCTGAGTAAAACGTTTTTTTTTTTTTTAAACTGTGATTGAAAAAATAAAAGTCTATTTCTGTCTCACTGGGGGCAGAGAGGGGCCAGTAAATTTCATTCAACCAAGGTTCCAAACACATCATTCTCTGGCTGATAAAGTTTAAGAACTGAAAGCTGAAGGTTTTATCCACTATATTTCACCAAGATGTGACTCTCTTCTTTTCACACAATGCTGAGATTATCTCTGCTGTACCAACACTGAATAAGTTTCCATTATTTGTCTGATATGAAGTTACATGCTCAACTCAAAGTGTTCTTTTCATTATCGATTCATCTGAGGAGTTTTGATTCTGCACTGTTTTATGTCTTGGAATCTCATTTTTACTTGCACTTTTTTCTTTTAATACATTTATTTTAGCAGCTTTTCATTGCCAACAACTGTTTACCTACAATTTTTGTGCATATGACAATAAATAACTTGAAACTTGACAATGTTCTCCATTGATTTGTGTTAAAATGTGTAAAATTTGAAAAGGAGACATGTAAAATTCTGCTGAAAGCAATACCTCCAGCTAGGGATGTCTTGATCTGACCTCAAAGATCAGTTTTGGAGCAGATCAACACAAACTGAACTGATCAGGATTGGCTATATTCGGGTGTATATAGATCCTGATCCAGCTGTCACACAGGTGTTTATACTTCAAATAGTTTCATGCACAACAATGCAACAAGTGCAGCTGTTATCAACTCTCCCTCTTTCCTTCACTATGCACCCAGCCCACCATAACCAACAGCAAAATGCTATGCTTTATTCATGTTATTTACCAAAGTTATAAGGACTCTTACATTACAGCTCAGTGTGTCTCTTGCATTTGGTCAGGCTGTTCTCACTAATGTTTCAAATGTTTTCCTATTAAAAACAATGCACCCAACTTTATACATATGCCACGTATTTTGAACGCTTGTAAGGAGGCAGATTGGGGTGGTGGATGGGTCACAAAAAAAACGGACTTTAGCCTGTGACCTTCCCCTGGAGTCGCATGTTCGGAACCGTGTGAACTTTGAGTGAACTTTTGAGTCATTTCAAGGGACGTTCTTACCATGTTTCTTTTCCTAAACCTTACCTCTGTAAATTTATCTTAATTATGTAACTGTACATTAAGGACGCAACGTCATTTATGGGGCTCAAATTTGTAGCATGTACACAAACTGTTGTACATGCATTTTTTGTAGGATAACATATGAGCTGTTCTATGAGAATACGTGATTTGGTGCGTGGTGTTTTACCATAGATGGAGAAGAGACAGACAGCGGTGCAGACCCACCACGCCACTGCATGTGCAACAAAAGCCCTGTGAGTTAACGGTCAATAAAAGTAAAATATTAATGTAGCCTAATCTGCACAAAAGTGTTCAGATGATGAAAATATTTATTTAGTGGAATACAGTTCATCTCACGTAACTCAGAGACAGGCTGCATCGAAGAACAGACACTGGAAAAACTCTCTTAAAGCAGAGAAATTCCCTTGAAACAGTGACATGGCTACAAAGATTAAAGAGAAGGTTTGTCAATTTATACTTTAGCCAAAGTTATTATCAACTGTCAACTATAAATTGGATTTATTTTTAATAGGCTTAACTTAAAAGTACTTGAAATGTGCACCGTGCAGCTGTACTATCTCGGTAAATAGAAGAATTAGACTCAGACTCGGTATCAGCAGGTATATTACAGGGCCTGGATCAGGATCAGGGGCAAATAAAGTTTATGGGACATCCCTATCTCCAGCTGTACAAACACAAACGCTAACGTGACCAGTGGGAAGCGATCTAAGGTGTGGATGTAATTACAAAATCTGAACACAAGTGGTCTCCTGGAGAAACTTCACAGACAAAGGTGTGAACGGCGGTGTGTTTGGGCTCTCCACTTGTGTTCGGAACACTGAAACACGTATTAGTACAGTAGCAGGTGTAACAGGCTCATAATGTCCAGATAAAGTTTGATTTCTCTTTTGTCCAACTAACATACCAAAACTTTAAGATTTTTAATTTACATTCACACAAGACAAATTTATTATTAGAGTATTAGTATCAGATCCTCACATCTGAGAGCATGTTGAACATTTTTGCTGAACAAAATGACTCATGATAAATTATCAAAGAGTTGCTTCTTCTTAATTCACTGAACTGACTTCTATGACTAATATCTCTGCAGTGAAAAGAACATTTCCTAATTCTGCTCTCAGGCGTCCTGCAGGACCTCAGAGAGGATGCAGTGCAGCTTGTTTGCCTGTCAAGCTACTTTTCAGTGTGAATTAGCTTCCAGACTACAAACTAACACTGCTGCCCTTTCATCTGATATGTCACTTGTCTCACCGGCTGGAGACTGAGTGATCAGTCGTCTGCTAGACAAGATAAACAGCACATAGTTAGCTTGTCTTTTAGAGTTTCTGTGGCTTAAAATGTTTGCTAGCTCAGTTAGTTCTCAACATCAAGTCTCAATATCTGTGTAAAGAACCTGCAGCCTCAGCTCGGACACATTAATATCACCACCAACATGTAGCTACGACTTGTGTCAGAAAATCTGAGCTCCTGATTATAGCAGCAACACGAATACTAGCTACTAAAAACTGCTATTAAAGACTGAAAAACACCTCTGAAATACAACTGTTACTGCTAGTCTTATTATACTCATCATCCTCATCTTCCTCATGAGCACACACACACATCACCTCAGAGACACACAGTGGTTTGGAGCTTCAGATAACCTGTTACAGTCCTGTGCCGCCCACCGTTCATATCTCCAGTGTTAATAACTCAATTCCAAGTCGGTTTCTCTCCTTTTCATTTGTTTTCCATCAGACTTCTGACAAGCTCCCACGAGCCTTTTCAACCGCTGCTGTACGGCTTCATCCACCTGCCTCCAATCATACTTTTATTTGCCCTGTGTAGGTGTGAGGAGAACGCGCTGATCTGCTGTCTGCAGCACTGATTTAGAGGGCAGATCTTCACACACTGACACATCTGTGAGGAGGATATATGTGTGTTATTTCTCAGTAGAACACACTCAATAAAACTACTAACATGTAGCTAGTACTATTACTCATATATATGCTCATATAATCAGTCTGATGTGCACTGTTAACAAAGGCTCTGCTGCTATTAATCACATCATGTCACTTTTTCCCCACTTCATTATCTGCACTACTAATGTTACTCAACAAGCAAATGTTCTCTGCTGAGGATCAGTAACTGTTTATCTTATCTCGTATCTCCAAATGCTTGATCTGAAATTGATTTAAGTTTTAAGACTCAAACCCATCATGAGCTGGTTTAAAAAGCAAGATACAAATACAGAAAAGTACTTTTCTTTGAAAGTTGGATACAGGTGCAAAAGACATTATTACTGTGTAGTGTGTGCATCTGTGTTTCTCTGTGTATTTATAATATTATTGCACAATTTATGTTTTAAAGTGCTTAATCTCAACCCGAGCCCGATGGGTCGCGAAAAGCCCAACGGGTCAGACTGGATTCAGGCTGAAAATGTGTGCTGATTGGCCGGGTCGGGTTAGGCTCAGGCTGTGGTGGGAAATTATAAACATATATATTTTTTGATAACTAAATATAGGAATACTGAAAAATGCAGGCAGGGAGAGAAGGAGAGGGAGCAGCCAGGCTTTGTGCTGGGCTCTCTGTGCTTCCTCCTGGCCGGAGCAGGGAGCGTCTCTAGCGGGGAAAGAGAGTCAGTGATCCACCGAGCTGGTCTATTTTCTGCTGGAGACGTGCGTGGCTTACGTTGCCACACAGCCGGAGTGTCCCTGGCATTAGAAGCCGACTTGTGCTTTTGGAAGGGACCAGGCTTGGTCGGGCTCAGGCTCAGTATGTTACGTGATGATCTCGGATGGGCCCAGTTCAGGCTTCAGCTCATACAGGTTGGTTCAGTTACGGATGTAATTTTTTACTTTTAACTTCATCTTCTGAGGAAGATTTGTGTGATAGATTAAAAGCTCCAGAAACTAAATGAACCTTGTGTTGGGACTGTTCAGTCAGCTACAGCCACAGACGTGTAGCGTAACCATGCTATCAAATGTTTTTGTGGCATCTCAGCACACTGAACACCACAGACTGTATGGGTTGTAGATGTTGTGGTCATGAGCCAATCACACGTTGAATTAACTGAAGAATGCTTGCGCTGATTGGCTGTGAGGAAAACTACACAAATAGTCTTTTTTTATCGGGTACAAAAAGGATCAAATGCAGGTATTGTTTGACTGGAGAGGTTTTGTTACCACCTGGTACTGGCTTATTTCAGTTGATACCGTAAAGGATAATACTCAGCCCTAATAAGCTCCTGTTGTTAAGATCGAAATTGATCTCAACTTTGCAGTCCTTTACATTTCTTGATGTCTCAGTTCAAGCGTATCAGTGTGTGTGTGTGTGTGTGTGTGTGTGTGTGTGTGTGTGTGTGCGTGTCCTCACTCGTTGCCCCAGTCCAATCTGACAGTGATGTGTCTCTTGACATCTCGGCTCTGGTCCTGCGTCAGGTGACCAGACAGCAGCTGCCGTCTCAGGTCGATGAGTTCCATCATCACGTGGCGGACCTTGTAGAACAGATCGACTTTGTGTTTCTGATGGAGGGAGGGAGGGACGGAGAGACAGAGGGAGAGAGGGATTATACTCATCTGTTGTTCAGCTCACTTGATTCATATGGTCCAACTCGAGAAGAAGCTGAGTAAGCTGTCATTCTTTGGCACCACCAGGCCCTTTCTGTGGTGTGTTATCCATGGCACTGGCACTTAAACAATAACAGCTCACACTGTAACACAGTGAAGGTGAGTGAGTTCATTGTTTAACCAGCTTATTCCTATTTATCCTCACAGAGAGAGTGGGAGCCCACGCCAGCCAGCATGTATTGGCCAGGAGGCAGAGAAACACTGTGAACGGATCACAGTCTATCACACACACACACACACACACACACACACAGATTTACAGATTCCAGTCCACCTGTTGTGCAATTGTTATGGATAACAAGAAATATAGCGAAATCACATGACGCAGGCAGGAATTGAACCTTCGACCTTCCTGGTTTGAGCTTTTTTTTTCTTTTTCACTGTAGAGAGAGACGTGAGGTTAGTGCGTGAGTCTATCCCTGCCACTGGATTTGTCTTTAAATGCAGGTAGAGTTGAGTGAGTGACTGTTTACGCTGCTGCAGCACCAACACACGTCATCATGTTTTTTCCCAAAAACAGGACATCAGGTTTCAGAAAAAAAGGGGGGGGGGGGGAGAAATCAAAGGGAAAGAAAGCAAACTGACTTTGTAAAAAAAAAATATCATTACCGCCCTGCAGTTGTATGCTTCCAAACACCAGTCACGTTTCTCTGACAGTTTCCATGCATGTCAGTGAAAACATGAATGCTTCACACACAGCCATTATCTACTCACCCATATGCCGAGGGAGGCTCAGGTGAAGTTTTAGAGTCCTCACATCACTTGCAGAGATCCAAGTGGAGTGGTGGTAGCATCACAACTCCACTTAATGGAGGCTGACGGCGCCCCAGATTCAAACGTCCAAAAACACATAATTGAAACCACAAAATATCTCCATACTGCTCGTCCGTAGTGATCCAAGTGTCCTGAAGCCCCGACATAAAAAGTTGTTTGGAAAAACGTCATTTGAACTCTGTTTTTAGCCTCATTGTAGCCTGAAGCTCTGACTGCCTCTCTGTGCACCACGCTCACATGTGTGTGTGCGAGACCAGCGAAACCATGTGAACACACATGAACGCAGTGCCCATGTCTCACAGTCTCACGCAAGCAGATATTTTGTGGTTTCAATTATGTGTTTTTGGACGTTTGAATCTGGGGCGCCGTCAGCCTGCATTAGGTGGAGTTGTGTTGCTACCTCCTCTCCCCTTGGATCTCTGCAAGGGATGTGAGGACTCTAAAACTTCACCTGAGCCTCCCTCGGCATATGGGTGAGTAGATAATGGCTGAATTTTCATTTTTGGGTGCACTATCCCTTTAAGGCAGCAGCTCCCAACAGGTGGGTTGTGATCCCACAGTGGGTCACGGGTCCATTCTGAATGGACTGCAAGTGACTCAGAAACGTGTCAAGTTTGGAAAAAAACACACCTTATTTTTAAGTACAGTGAATCTACAACACATAGCTTTTATTCTGAAGTGCTGTTTCCCTACTGTAGAGTGAGTGACTAATGGACAGCTACTTGACAGAGACAGCAAACTAGCTTAACATCGCGGCCAGATGCAAGTATGATGTTGAATATATTAACTGTGTGGACCTTGAACGAAAGACTATGCAGAAATGTGGACCCTATGGCTGGACCAATGGGGAACCACTGCCTTAAAGGGATAGTGCACCCACTATCTGCGCTCACATGTGTACACTGAGACATGGGCACCGCATTCATGTGTGTTCACGTGCTTTCGCTGGTCTCGCGCGCAGTGCACAGAGAGGCAGTTAGAGCTACAGGCTACAATGAGGCTAAAAACAGAGTTCAAATGATGTTTTTCCAAACAACTTTTTATGTCGGGGCTTCAGGACACTTGGATCACTACGGACGAGCAGTATGGAGATATTTTGTGGTTTCAATTATGTGTTTTTGGACGTTTGAATCTGGGGCGCCATCAGCCTCCATTAGGTGGAGTTGTGTTGCTACCTCCTCTCCCCTTGGATCTCTGCAAGTGATGTGAGGACTCTAAAACTTCACCTGAGCCTCCCTCGGCATATGGGTGAGTAGATAATGGCTGAATTTTCATTTTTGGGTGCACTATCCCTTTAAGGTGTTCTTGAGATTTTACATTAACGAGAGTGAGATAAACAACTGACTGGTCAAGTCATTCATTAAGTAGTTATCAAAACTATCTGATTTTAGGAGTTGCAGTTTTTGTCCTTTTCGTGTTACTGAACACTGAAAATATTTGGGTTTTGGACTATTTAGAGACATCATTTTGAGCTCTGGGAATTTGTAATTATTAATTACATGATTGATCAAAAAAGTTATTATTAATGAAAATGATTTTTAGTCAGAGCCCTATAATCATTTAAATCACATTTGTCATACACATATAAACATGATCACGATGAACCCTAAAATCCACCTCTCCTCTCAGGTCTATATTTCTAAAGGCTTCTATCAAGCTAAAGGCAGCATATGTTCGACTGCAGTAGATCAGTATTTTGGTGTTTCAACTGAGACAAGTTAGCCCGTACACACACACACACACCCAGACACACACACAAACACACACAAAACCCAGAACACACTTCCCCCTATAGCTTGTTCTATTATTAGCGCTCTAATGTACCCTACAGGCCCTCAGCAGCAGCAGTGGAGTTAAATGTCCATTCAGTTCTTGGCAGGACGCTAGACAGGCAGAAATTCCTCTGCAGGGGCAGGTGCTATAAACACACACACACACACATAAGCATACATGCATGCACACACACACCGACACTGACACACAAGCAAAGACACACACCGTCCTCTGAGACTGTAAGGTCGACACAAAAAACTACACTCTCACTACATACAGTACATGTGGCTACTGTAGACGCAGGCAGTGTTCATATATGAATATAATGTAGAGAGTACACACACACACACACGCACACACGCACACACACACGCATGCACGCACGCACGCACGCACGCACACACACACACACTGCATGCATATCTCTGTTCATACATGCATAAATAAATGCAAACACACTTTTCTGCAGAGGTTTGGAAGCTTGTACACATGTCTGAAGCAGAGATCTCCCGGTGAGACATTCACACTGTGTTGTGTCTCTCTGTCTCCGTCTCTGTCTGTCTCCCTCTGCTTTGTGTCTCACTGCCTTCATCTGTGTCTGTGTCTCTCTGTCTCCGTCTGTCCCTCTCTGTATGTTGTGCCTCTGTGTCTGTCCGTGTATCTCTGTGTTGTGTCTTTCTCTGTCTATCTCTCTCTGTGCTGTGTCTCTCTGTGTGTTGTCTCTCTGTCTCCGTCTGTCTCTCTCTGTATGTTGTGTCACTGTCTCTGTCTGTCTCTCTGTCTGTCCCTGTCTCTCCCTCTGTGTTGTGTTTCTCTCTCTCCATGTGTTTCTCTGTGATGTGTCTCTCTGTCTCCATCCGTCTCTTTCTGTGTCGTGTCTCTCTGTCTCCATCTGTCTCTCTGTGTATTGTCTCTCTGTCTCCGTCTGTCTCTCTCTGTATGTTATGTCACTGTCTCTGTCTGTCTCTCTGTCTCTGTCTGTCTCTCTATCTCTGTTGTGTCTCTCTACAGGAGGCCCCTGTGCAGGAGAACCATTATGTAACTGTGGCTGCAGTGGAGGAGGAGCTGTTTTTGGGAAACTGAGCTGGGAAATACGTCAAGTTTTGGCGAACACAGTTGAGGCAGCTCTGATATCGACCGGCAACTTGCCCGGCAGGTTTTTCCACTCTTGTGCCACGGCATGCTGGGAAAGGCTTAAGCCCCTACCAGGAGTAAGTGGGTATTGAGATGAGATTTAAGAACAGATAGTTCCACCACAGCAGTCAAGACTCCTTAATCTATAAACATATTCTGAGGGTGTGGACGGGGATCAGTGGCTTCAGGTGGATACCAGGTAACAGCCCGGGTCTCATTCTGACCATGAACTCTGTACACATCATTTTCATTTTACTGTAGCAGAACTCCCCGTTTGCCTCTACTATCAACTGAGTCTGAGACATTTCACTGAGACAAACATGGTTTTATTTCTTGTCCTCTGCATCTCTGCATTGATTCATTGACGCAACAAAAACATTTTTATTTCTATGTGCGTCATTAATACTGTTATGTCAACTGAAGGACAAAGGTAGCAAACACAGCGTTTACACACCAGAGTTTTTCTGTAGTTCATCTTCAAAGAAGGCAAATGTTTGGGCCCATTTTGGATTTAATAGCTTAACAATTAGCTCTCGAAGACGAAGGTGAAGGAGTTTTTGAATAATTCATTCACCATCACCAAGAGACAAACATTAATAAAGTGGAGCACCAAACTCCAGCACCAGCAAATAAAAAATGCTCAATTTTAAAAGGCCTGCGCTTGTGCAGAGTTGTGCACTTTGTACCTCTTTTATTGATATCAGTTTAACTCACATGTAGAAAAAAGTGAATATGGCGATCTGTCCTGACTGTGTTTTGACTTCTGCTGCAGGTTTGCTGTTTTCAGGATGAGTTACTGGCACACATTAAAACTGTGTAAGAAAAAAAAAAAAAAAAAAAAAAACAGTGGCGAAAAAAATCATCCGTATGTCTACTTGCAGTCTGAGTGTGTGAGAGGGTATTTAAATCATGATTGTTTACCTGCTGTTATCACAGCCCTTCATAAATTATAATACAACTCTGAGGCAATGCGTCCACAGGGAAGCCCCCGTCTCACAGCGCAGGCTTCTATTGCTCAGTAGCTCCTGTTGGGATCCCTGTTGCACCATCCCGACTCTGCTGACACAGTGATTAGCATGTTTTTAGCACTCAAGGTACAACTTTTAGCCCAAGAGTGCCATATTTCAAATGGATTTTTAGTAGTTGCTTAGCAACAAGAAGAGTAACACACACAGCAGTTCTCCTCAGCATCTGTTTAGCATTTGTTTTTAAGA